AGTACAGGTGGCCAGAGGCCCGATTCCCCCCCCCCGTCAATATGGTAGCGGAATTAAAGAAAAGACTACCCCAGGAGGGCACCAGCACCCCTAGAGAATCCCTCGCTGAGCATCCACGACCAAACAACTCCACTCCTGAGCGTCCTTACTGAGGTGTTCGGGCTGTCCCACGTATTCTGGGGGGGCGGGGGGGGGCGGCGATGTGGAGTATCACGTACCTTCCCTGTTGGACCTTCTGCTGACCTCTCATCCGGACGGATATCAGGTCTCCGTCGATGCCCCTCTGGGCTCTTCGGACCATTGTCTGATCCGGAGTACGGTGCCACTCACGCTCCTATCGCAGTTGCGCTGCCGTGTATGGCACTATAGGTCAGCCGATTGGGACGGGATGCGGTCTTTTTTGCATCCTACCCTTGGGGGTGGGTTTGCTTCTCGCCGGAAGAACCCAGCGTTGTTGCCTACTCTGTTGCTGATGTGGTACTTCAGGGTATGGAACTTTTTATTCCATCCTCTGTGATGCCCATCGAAGGCAGATCCCAGCCATGGTAAGGTCGCTCCTGTAAAATAGCATCACGCTATAAGCAGGAGTGCTACCGAGCATGGGCTGACGCAACAACGTCTCGGGATGTAAACACCAGCGCTCTTATCAAGCGTCATTGCCAAGGCAAGGCTTGAGCACATCAGCAGAATTAGTGAGAAGTTAGTTCGCATTCCTTCGACTGGCATTTTCTTCGCATTCTGGACTCTATCAAAGGGCACTTCTATCTCTTCCATCTCTTCCATCTCTGCACAGAGAGGATGACTCACTGGCCTATGCCGTAAAGGAGAAAGCCGATCTTTTAAGCTCTCTCTTTGCGTCCAACTCGACTCTAGATTACGGGGGGAACACACCACTGACCATCCCAAAGTATGAGTGCTCCATGCCGGATGTCATTACACAGCGCTCGGTTCGTAATGCACTCTTCTCCCTGGACGTCAGCAAGTCAAGTAGGCCTAATGGAGTCCCTTCCATTGTGCTGAAGACGTGTGCTCCGGAGTTGGCACTGGTTTTAACGCGTCTTTTCCGGTACTCCTACTCCCAAGGCGTAGTCCCGAATTCATGGAAGACAGCTTTGGTCCACCCGATCCCTAAAAAATGCGACCGCTTAGACCCGTCCAACTATAGGCCTATCACCAGCACCTCCTTGTTCTCCAAAATAATGGAAACTATTATGAACTGCCAGCTCATGAGGTACCTTGAGGATCACCAGCTGATTAGTGAGAGCCAGTACGGTTTTCGTCTTGGTCGATCAACTGGTGATCTTCTGGTTTACCTGACCCATAGATGGGCGGAGGCAGTAGAGTCCAAGGGGGAGGCATTGGCCGTTAGTTTGGACAAAGCGAAGGCCCTCGATCGGGTCTGGCACAAAGCGCTTCTTTCGAAGCTTCCTTCCTATGGGCTTCCCGAGAAATTGTGCAAATAGATCACTAGTTTCCTTGCTGGTCGGAGCATCAAGGTCGTAGTAGACGGTACATGCTCTGATTTCAAGCCTATCAACGCTGGAGTTCCACAAGGCTGCGTGCTATTACCAACGCTGTTTCTCCTGCATATCAATGATATGTTGCAAACTGTTAACATTCATTGCTGTGCAGACGACAGCACTGGTGATGGCTTATATACCGGCCGTGCCAATATTTCTCGGGAAAACGTCACCGAGTACCGGGACAAACATGTGTCTGAAGTCCTCGCACAACTTCCTTGTGGAATAGTTTACCACCAGCGATTTTTCTGGACCGATACGACTTAGGACTAGGACTTACCTTTAAGAAAAGAGCCTACTCCTTTTTAAAAGGCCGGCAACGCATCTGCAATTCCCCTGGTGTTGCGGTTGTTCATGGGCGGCGGTAGTCACTTACCATCAGGTGAGCCGCATGCTCGTTTGCCCCCTCTCCTATAAAAAAAAAAGTCGAGTCTTTGCTGAACAAAGTCTCGGATTGGGGGTGACTAAATCTAGTCCAGTTCACTCCCCAGAATACACAAGTTTGCGCGTTTACCGCTAAAAAGAACCCCTTTGTCGTATCTCCTAAGTTTCAAGGCACTCCCCTTGCTACCTCAGCTAGCATCGGAATCTTTGGCGTCGACAAATCGAATAGTGTGCAGTTTCGTGGTCACTTGGAAGGGAAGGCCAAATTGGCCTCTAAAAAGCTTGGCGTGCTCGGCAGAGCGAGACAGTATTTCATGCCGACAAATCGCTTGCAACTTTACAAAGCTCAAATCCGGCCTCACATAGAATACTGTTCTCATCTCTGAGCCGGAGCACCACAGTGCCAGCTCCTTCCACTTGACTGCATCCAGCGCAGAGCGGTACGAATCGTCGACGACCGAGTGCTTTCTGATCGGCTCGATACACTGGCACTACGTAGGGATGTTGCATCCCTTTGCATTTTCTATCGAATTTACCACGGGGAGTGCTCTGACGAATTGTTCGGATTAATTCCAGCCGCCAAATTTCACGAATGCACATCGCACCAAAATTCATGATACTATGCTCACCATCTGGATGCTTGGCGGTCCACGACTCTGCGTTTTACTGGGAGTTTTCTTCCTCGTACAACTCCTCTGTGGAATTGTTTATCACCGGCGATTTTTCCGGACCGACACGACTTAAGGACCTTCAAGAAAAGAGCTTACACCTTTCTAAAAGGCCGGCCACGCATCTACAATTCCTCTGGTGTTGCGGTTGTTCATGGGCGGCGGTAGTCACTTACCATCAGGTGAGCTGCATGCAACGAGCATGCAGCTCACCTGATGGTAAGTGCCCCCTCTTCTATATAATTCTATATATCTTCTATATAATAAAGGAGAACACAAAAACTCTCCGATCCTACTCTTAATCTCATGGCTGTTAGACGTGATATGAAGCTGCAGTCTTCAGTAGATTTGACAGCATACAGGCAACTGAATAGACAGATCTCCAAATGCATGCGGCGGGACCAGCGGGCAAGGGTGGGCAAGCGCACTGAGCCTCGCTGGAGTGTGGCCCCGGTGGCAGGTCTGCTGACCAGAGACATGGAGGAGTCTGCTGCTGAAGCCGAAGAAGAGGACTGCCAAAGGGAGAGTTCCCGGGGAGCGAGTGGGACCTTCAAGGCTTCGAAAGCATCCAAGCTGGAGGTAATAGACTACGTTCGACAAACGGTGAAGAATATCATGAGCGTCATCACTGGACCAGGGTCAAAGCTCAACAAGGCCGAATTGAACAGGGTTGCTGCATACGGCCATGACCTTATTACCATGGTGGCGGCGATGGAGGTACATACCTCCGAACTAGAATTGGCTGCTGTAAGAGCAGAACAGGGGAAGACCATAGCGGAAGCTAGACTGGCGCAGGTCGAGGCTGGAGCAGTTCCTGGCCACGCCACGGATCCGGCACCGCAAAGGTCATACTCGACAGCGCTGAGGTTGCCAAAGGGGGCAGATCAGGTTTTAATGCCAGTAAGCAAAGGTCCAGTAGTTGCCTTCTATCCGGCTGAAGTGGAAGGACCTATTAAAACAGCGTAGGACACGAAAATGGAGCTGAAGAAGGCGGTGAATCCGAAAACTAGCGGCCTACAAATAGATAGGTTGAGAAAGGTAGGAAATGCAGGTGTCGTGGTCCAGACCACGTCCCAGGAAGCTGCGGAGAAGCTAAAGACAGTGGCTCTTCCATCACTGAGAGTGTCTGAGCCCACGCAGCGCCAAACCCTGGTTGCTCTTAGGGGTTTTGAAGAGGACCCAAAGAATGAAGAAGTACTGAGCGGCCTCTATGAGCAAAACTTGGCTGCTTGTGGCTGGAGCGAAGAAATGTTAAAGCAAAGCTGTAAAATAGCTTTCAAAAAATCATGGAGAGGTAGCAGGCGGACAACAGTCATACTGCAATGTTCGCCCGCCTTGAGGGACGTCCTGATTGGACACAACCGGCTATACGTCGGCTTGGACGTGGTTGAGCCGTGCGACTATGTGGACGTCACGTGCTGCCAGAGGTGCCAGCAATATGGGCATCCGGCAAAGTACAGCCGAACGAAGGAACTTGTCTGCGGAAAATGTGGAGAGACTGGACACGAAAGTGGCGCCTGCAAATCAATGGACGAAAAGTGCGCCACGTGCAAGCGCTTTGGAAGATCGGACTCTGGCTCGCACGTGGCCATGGCGAGGAACTGCCCAGCAAGGATATATGCAGAGCAGCGCTCCGTGGCCACCACACAGTATTGCCGGTAAGGGCAGCCCTACAGGAACAAGAGAAGAGTTAAGAATAGGTCAGATTAACCTGGGTCGGGGGGAGCTCGCCGCGGCTGAGTTGCCTATCCTGGCGCGTGAACTGCACCTGGACATTGTTATTTTACAAGAACAGTACTCCCAGGCTGTGGGGATCGTCCAGGTGGGTGGTCATCCGTGGGTGGGCGTCTATCTTGCCGACCCAACTATTGGAGTAGCTGTGCTGAGCCACCTCAGCAACGAGTTTTGTGTGGTGTGCCACGTATACCGATGGGACCTCTATGTGGTGTCAGCGTACTTTAAATTTAGCGACACTATCGATGATCACCTGCACCACTTAGAGGTCGCCCTGAGCTGTCTAAAGGGTAGAAGGGTTATCGTGGGCCTCGACGCCAACACGCACTCGCCACTCTGGCATTCTGATCGCCGGCATTACGTGGGAAGAGGGCAAACAGCTGACTATCGAAGACAATAAATGGAGGCGTTTATCATTTCACATGCCCTTACTCTGGCTAATATGCCCGACCAGCCCTACACCTTCTCTGGGCCTGGTGGGGAGTTCAATGTGGATTTGACCCTAACCACTGGGGACGTTTATCTTGCCGATTGGCGGGTGCGCGAGGGGATCTGCGCCAGCGACCACAACCTGATCACTTTCACGGCCTCTATCAACAGACCGATCACCCGCGCTGCACCCGTTAGGGAGCCTCCTCGTTTTCGCGACCGAAGGGTGGATTGGGACAGGTTCCGGGCGATAATCAAACTGCGAATGGGATGGCTGCATGTGGAAAAACCCCGCAGCCCTCCTGGCGGAGGAGTTCTCAGGGGTTATCGTCCGCTCCGCGGAGGAGGGCCTAGGGCAACGTCACCCCAGGGGGTCGGGGGGGGGGAGTACGAGTGGTGGACGACTGAACTCGATAAGACTAGAAGGTTACAATGTAAACTCAGGCATGCATGGCAGAGTAAAAGGCGTCTAGGAGGTAGGTCAGAGGAGATAGCCAGGATGGCCTTCCACAGCGTGCGTGCGAGATACAGGAAGATGATGGTGGAGGCGCAGCAGTCGCATCATATGAGGGTTGCCAACTCTGGCAACGAGGACCCATGGGGTATGGCGTACAGGGTGGCTAGCGAGATGGTACGACCGCCTGCAAACGTGATCAATGGGATCGCCTTTGCGGGTGGGCACCCGGACAACATCGAGGCAGCGATGGTCAACCTAATGTCTGCGCTCTGTCCGGATGACAGACCTGATCACGACATGCCTTACCATCAGCAGGTCCGCCTACTGGCGGCTTTCATGCCGTCTGGTAGAGCTGCGTCTCCGCCTGCAGTTGAGGATCTGGAAGTAATAGTCAAGGCCTTGCCTAACACAGCTCTGGGACTCGATGGAGTGAGCGCGCGAATTGTGAAGAATGTTTGGATGGCAGCACCGAGGAAATTTCACTCGGTGTACGCCAAGTGCGTGGTAGAGGGGGTCTTCCCCAAGGTATGGAAGGACGGAAGATTGATTGTCATTCCAAAGGGTAATGACAAGCCGCTCACCGATGCCAAGGCATACCGTCCGATAACGCTCCTCCCTGTTTTGGGAAAAGTATTGGAACGCGTAATGTTAAGATGTGCTTCTGCGATTAGTCGCGAGATATCTGAGCACCAGCACGGTTTCTCTCCGGGGCGATCTACGGTAACAGCGCTGCGTGTCTTGCTCAGCACGGCTAGGTATTCTCGAGCATGCTACGTACAGACAATCTTTCTGGATATCTCCGGCGCCTTCGACAATGCCTGGTGTCCGATGATGATGGTGAAAGCGAAACGAGGTGGTTGTCCACCAAACATTTACAAAATGCTGGTGGACTACTTCACCTCCAGACGTGTGGGCCTCTACATCGGGGACCGGGTAGAGTGGAAGACATCGACTATGGGATGTCCTCAAGGCTCTGTGCTGGGCCCTACACTGTGGAACGTATTGATGGACGACCTACTCCGACTCCCTCTGCCTGAGGGAGTAGCCATGACTGCCTATGCTGTTGATGTTACAATCTTGATTGAATCTAATACCAGAGCGGGTATCGAATCCAGGGCTAGAGTCACTTTGGACCTTGTACGGGAGTGGGGGCTAAGGAATCGACTGGAGTTTTCCTCATCAAAGTCGACCACCATGACTATTAGAGGGAAACTTCAGCGCCCCCCGTTATTAAACTTGGTAGAGAATCTGTAAAGGCTGTAACCAATGCTAAAGTACTAGGTGTGGTATTGGACTCAGGACTATCGTTTGTGCAACATGCGTCCGATATTTCTGAAAGAGCGACCAAAGGATTCGGCAAGATGACTCGCGTATCGACATAATCATGGGGTGTCCGATACCCGAGCCTAAAAATAATATATAGAGGAGTGTTTGTATCCACGCTCACGTACGCGGCGGAGTGCTGGTACGAGCGTGCGAACATGTACACAGTTCGCAGCGTACTGCTGAGATCGCAGCGATCAGCCCTTATATTGCTGACTAAGGCGTATCGATCCACCAGTACGGCGGCCTTACCGGTGCTGGCTGGCGTTCTTCCTTCTGACCTGGAGGTTATCCGTGCTGGTAGGATGGGTATAGCACGTTTGACCGTGTCCAAAGAGGAGTTGAGCAGACGGAAGCGCGAAATTTGGACTGAGGTGATCGGTGTTTGGCAGGATCGATGGACGAATGAATCAAAAGGACGCGAGCTCTATCGGTTCTTCCCGGAAGTGGCGTTGCAACTCAGGTATACCTGGGTCGCACCGTACTATCAAACCTCTCAAATTCTCACCGGGCATGGATGTTTTCGGAAGAGACTGAGTGAAATGGGACTGTGTGAAACAAGTATGTGTGAGTGTGGTGCGATAGAGGAGGACGAATGTCCTCTGTATGACGACCTAAGAGCGAAAATGATGGATGGATTAGTTCGTACGGTTCAAGGACCGATTTACTACTCGGATCTCGTCAGCGATGGGGTGAACTACGGGCTGTTGCGCGAATTTGCGCACAGGTGGCATGATATAAGAATAAGGCAGGACAGAATGTTGGCAAAAAGGCCTGACGACGTAGGCGTAATAGTGCCGTCAGCCCCAGAAGGGGGAGAATGACAAACTGGGACAAGAAGTAGATTAAATAACTTGTAGAGAGTCAAGAAAATGCATGCGGGAAAGAGCCCTGAGCAAGTACCGCGTGCATCTCTCGTGATTCGGCCCATATAACCGCAAGGTTGGTGGGGCCATGGGAGGTGGTGGGTTATTCTCATCTCTGAGCCGGGGCACCCCAGTGCCAGCTCCTTCCACTTGACTGCATCCAGCGCAGAGCGGTACGAATCGTCGACGACCGAGTGCTTTCTGATCGGCTCGATACACTGGCACTGCGTAGGGATGTTGCATCCCTTTGCATTTTCTATCGAATTTACCACGGGGACTGCTCTGACGAATTGTTCGGATTAATTCCAGCCGCCAAATTTCACGAAAATCAAAAATTCATGATACCATACTCACCATCTGGATGCTTGGCGGTCCACGACTCTGCGTTTTACTGGGAGTGTTCTTCCTCGTACAACTCCTCTGTGGAATTGTTTATCACCGGCGATTTTTCCGGACCGACACGACTTAAGGACCTTCAAGAAAAGAGCTTACACCTTTCTAAAAGCCAGCCCGGCCACGCATCTACAATTCCTCTGGTGTTGCGGTTGTTCATGGGCGGCGGTAGTCACTTACCATCAGATGAGCTGCATGCTCGTTTGCCCCCTCTTCTATATAAAAAAGGAGAACACAAAAACTCTCCGATCATACTCTTAATCTCATGGCTGTTAGACGTGATATGAAGCTGCAGTCTTCAGTAGATTTGACAGCATACAGGCAACTGAACAGACAGATCTCCAAATGCATGCGGCGGGACTTACGCAACTTTAATACTGCTCGTATTGAAGAAGCAATCGAGCGGAACCAGGGCTCCAAAGTCTTTGCTAGAGATCTGTCTGCCAAAAAGAGCCAACTGTTGATTTTGAGTGAGATTGAGAGGTGCTATGGGCAGCTGTGCACTCATTGTTGGAGCCACACGTAAGTGTGAGTAATGATCCAAGAGCGAGTTTTAGTTATTTATATAGTATTATACAGGGTGTTTTTGGAACGCTCCCGAAAACTAAGACAGGCGACAACACCAAGTATACCTTTGATCATGGGTCACAAATAAATTCGATCCTGATGAAAAAAAAATCATCTTTTTACAAGGTTTCATTAGCTTTATTCACGCGCCATCATGTTAGTACAGCTAAATGAAACGATAATTTCATAAAAATATCATGAAAATACTGAAACATAAAACCAGCAGTGGAATGACTGAATTGATATCACCTGACCTGAGCTAGATAAAGGTCAATGTACGCGCGAACACAAATTCGCGCGGCCCGCAACTAGCGGGCCTTCCAACAATACCTAATAATTTACAACACGTGTCTAAATACCTAACTTATCTACTTAACCTACTATTTTGCCACTGTGCTTATCTCCACGTAGCCACTTTAATCCGAATTTACAGGTTAAATAACCCAAATAACTGGTTCGATTCCCCGCTAATGAAGAAATACTTAAATGAAATGTAACCAAGGTTGGAGTCATGCGTTTTTATTCATCGTGTAGGTATGTTTATTATTCTCGTGTATTCAGTTATGTACCTATTCAGATTAGTCTAGTACTAAGTTATTTAAAAAAAAATAGTTATGAAACAGCTTACTGCTCTAAATCCTCCGTGGTCTTATGAGATGCGGCTCAAATTGTGCTCCATTCATTTCAAGGCAGACTTGGGTGCAGGCGGGGCATCATCGTGTGGTCTTCGACACAGTCCGTACGTAGTTTCTCGAAAGCATCCACGATCCTTTGGCGCATTTCTTCAGCACTATCACATTCACGATTAAAAACCCTTTCTTTCACATACCCCACAAAAAGAAGTCTAACGGAGTCAGATCTGGTGAGCGAGGTGGGCAAGCGTGTGGTCCTAGTCTGCCGATCCAGCGATCATCAAATAGCTCATTGAGGCGCTCACGGACGAACCTCACGAAATGTGGAGGGGCACCATCATGTTGGAACTATGTGCGGCGATATTCAGCCAACGATAGGTCGTTTAAAATGTCAACCAACTGTTCATTTATAAAGTTTAAGTATCGCTGTCCGTTCAGTCGCTCTGGCAGAAACACTGGTCCCAGTATGCGATCCTTAAATAAACCTGTCCATACGTTAACCGACCATCGGGTTTGGTGCCCGGTTTGTCGAACAGCGTGCGGGTTAACCTCTGAATACACGTGTGTATTTCTTCGGTTCCACAGGCCGTTTCTGGTAAATGTCGACTCATCCGTCCAGATAATGTGCTCAATGGAACCAGGCACACGTTGTTGCTGATATAATAACCAACGGCAGTATAATAACCACTATAAACGTACGCGTTAGGCATTATTAAAACAAAAAAGAATCCAAAAACGTAACAAAAACTTTAATATCAACACGTAATCACAAGTAAATTTATTAAACAAAACGATTGAACTATCGCTCGCGCACGCGTGTACAAAATCAACACGAAACTGTCTCAAAAACTAAAACCAACGAACCCCGTCAAGGCTGAAAATTACTGCGTCACAAGCGTGAGGCGACAGGGTTAGGCATTCTGCCGTCATAATAAAAAAGGAAGTAACTAACAAAAACGTAAAATGGAAATAAAAAATAAATTGATGAATTTTTCTTTCAGACCCCGTGTCTAAAGTATATTAAAAGGTATCTGTATTGAAATATATACGTAGAGACATGAAGATTTTAAGGACGAACTTATTTTTTTTTAAAATTTGTTTATTTATTTAAATAAAACGAATTTTCCTTTTCATCTTAGCTTAAAAAATACACCTGGCAACACAAAAACATCGAAGGAAAGACGCATATAACTATTTGCGTCTTTCCAACCTAATAAATTAAAAAAAAACTGCCATTCATTTAACAATTTTACATATTTTGGAAAGGTCATTTGAAGTTGAAAGGACGCTAATAGTAATTTACTACTTTTTTTTTTAATAAATATTAGAAAAGCATTGGTAGTGAGACACAAAAAATAATAATTTTAAAAAGTAATGATTTTAAAGGGGATATCATACAAGACTTACTACGATAATAATTAAAAATTAAAAATTTTGTACAACCGACTTTAATATAAATAATTAAGGATAACTCAAAAACTATTGGTCTGACCTCGATCAAATTTATATGGGACCACATGTGAAACACCAGCTCTTAACAATAAGATATAAGCTCTTAATAATAAGATATAGAATAATAAGACAAGACCAAGAATAATTGAAATTTAAGTAATCGATGCAAATATTGTTAAAGATGACGTAGCAACTGGTTAAATAAGTCTTTTCTTTTATGTTGAATTTGTATAAGTCTTTTCTACTAAAAAAAGTCATCTGTGATCAACAGTTACGTCTAAAATTCTTACGATAATTTCTAAAATATTGATATTTGTGAATATTAAAAAAATTTAGTAGATGCGCCTTCTTATCATGAATCGAATGGTATATTTAACTCATTTATTCATAAATTGTTAGATGCGCCCTTTTTTCTTACGACCGCGTGTTTCGTACCGAGCTAGATACAGGTCGATAGCGGAGGGGGTGTGGGTACAATCGCGTTCTAAAGTACTACATGGTATTGGGCTATTGTTTTATAATATTATAGTAATTAATTGTTTTAATGTAGAATCATAATAGGTGTTTTACTAGCTACTTAGAACTTTGGAAGAGGTGGGAATTAAAAATGGATAATGTTTACATGAGCATTATTTGTTATTTCTATCGTAAAATATAAAGTAGTTTGTAACAAGAAAACTTTAGCTAAGGGTAACACGCCGTCCATTATGACGTCTTGGGTCACATGGAAGCCAGATGTTAATGGTGTGTTGGTGTTACTGGATGCTACTTGATCATCACTTTCATCTTCGCTTGAGCTTCCGTCATCAGGTCGATCACATGGTAATTTTTTCGGTATTCTTCCTCCACACTTTTAACTTTACTGCACAATTTTCCCCATTCACCTTCTCCTATCATATTTACCTTTTCGATCACTAGTTTAGTCATAAAACAATAGATATAAATAATTTTTCTTTCATTCCTTTTTAAAACATCGTCGCGAGTCGCAAAGTAAGCTGTGTATGCGACTGTATTTTTGGAG